ACGTTTTTAACTTAAAAATTATTAGACCGAATTTGTATTAGAAATTAAAACCATGTAAAATAGGGGTAGAATTTTCAGGGGAGTGCTATAGAGTATATAGTTTTTCGTTACCGATCTTCTGGAAACCGGTTTTTCTAATTTTTTTAATTCTTACGCGAAATAATTGATCGAATCTCGGAGAGGGAGAGGGAAAGGGGGAGGGAGGGAGAGAGAGAGAGAGAGAGAGAGAGAGAGAGAGAGAGAGAGAGAGACTATTGAGTGAGATTATTTGCGTGTATTATTACACATGTCCTCCGGGGCGAAGCCCGGGTAACCAGCTAGTCAATATATAATTTTCAACGACTCAGCTCGTGTATTGTTACACCAATATGTAATTTCCAACTGTCAGCTCATTATACTGTTACATCAATATATAATTTCCAACGGCTCAGTTCGTTGTACTGTTACATCAATAATGGCACCCAGGCCAACAATACTTTGTAATTTCCAACGGCCTTACGCCTATTACTATTACATCAACAATGGCACCCAGTACCAACAATACTTTGTAATTTCCAACGGCCTGACGCCTTGTACTATTACATCAACAATGACACTCAGTACCAACAATACTTTGTAATTTCCAACGACCTTACGGCTTGTACTATTACATCAACAATGGCACCCAGTACCAACAAATCCAGCATCATGGACTAGAACAGCTAAATTCATTAATGTCAGCTGTAATCGCTAGCTCACCTTGTATCGTAATCCAGGGTTTCAGATTATCGGCGGCTGCAACCGTCCGACCTCTCTTTCGATTTTCCCTCAGATCTTCAATCTCGTACCGATCGTTGATCAGGATCTTGTGAATCCGGAATGGACCCTTGAACTTTGGGTACAGTTTCCTGCTACTCCCGGTGGCAAGGTCACTCGTGATTCGTACCAGGACCAGGTCGCCCTTTTTATACAGTTTGGCATCTCGGCGCGTCTTGTCGTACCGCACCTTCTGCTCCTGCTGCTTCAGGTCGATGTGCATTTTCATGTGATTACGCAACTCCGCCAAGTTCAACCGATGCACGACATCCTGGATTTCCGTTAGGAAACGGGCTTCCGCCATGCCCCTCGTCTCACAACCGATGAGAGCCTTCATCGGGCTAGTGGATAAAGAATTTTACTTTATATACCCCAAGGGGCCTTAAAGGGCGTTTTGAAGGGACGTACCCAACCCTAACCTCCAATTCATCCTACTACCTTACTGTTTCCTACTTTCCTACTTTGGACCAACGGTTTAACGTCTCTTCCGAAAGACGGAGCTCAGTTTTCTCCGCATTTGCACGGAGGAGCGCGGTTTTTTCGGAAAAAAACTTTTCCATGATTCATGGCTCTAGTGGACTCGAACCTGGTTCCTCAGATTACGAGTCTGGCGCTCTACCACTAGACCACACCGCCGCTCTTTCATCGAGCTAGTGTTGATACCCTTATTATGCATCGTGTTCAGCGCACTCTGGATTGGCTTCACTGCCAAATCCCAATCAGCTGGTTCCTGTCCTGCCGTGGTGGCAGCCAACGCCTGTACAATGGTCTTATTGTACCTCTCGCATTGCCCATTGGCCCTTGGAGTGGCTACCGCATTTAACACATGTTTCACGCCATATGTACTGCAGAACGTCCAAAATGACTGGGACGTAAATGCGGTCCCTCGATCGCTAATTATCCTGGAAGAAACTCCAAACAGATAGAACAGATTAGTCAAAATCTTTACAACGTATTGCGTCTTCTGACTCTTTACTGCCTCGATGACAGTGAACTTCATGAATGCATCCACTATTACCAACAGAAATTTGTGATGTCTCCGACTGGTTTCGAATGGACCCACATGATCAAGATGTAACGTGTGAAAAGGTATTGGTATCTTTTCAATAATGTTTAGCTTGCACTGCTTTTTGCCAGCAGCCTGCTTATAATAGGCAAAATTTAGACAGGCCTTGACGTACTTCGCTACGAACCGTCTCATACCGGCGAACCAATAGTTCCTTTGGATACGCTCCAACGTCTTCTCGGCCCCCATGTGGCCAGCATCATCGTGGCACAGCCTGCAAACCTGCATACGTGCCATTCGTGGTACCACCCACGCTTTACCGCGATCTCCCAGACGTCGGTACAGCTTGCCATCTTACAGCACGTATTCGTCGAAGTAATGCTTAGCTTCGCCTATTGGTTTTCCCTCCATCAATATAGTTCGAATGCGTGCCAGTTGCTCGTCCTGCAGCTGAGCAGCCAGTATCCAGTCACCTTCGGTAATGTCGACTTGCATGATTTCCAGCATCAACGGCATCGGATTTCGGCTGAGTGCATCAACATGCGCCATCCTCGTTCCAGCACGGTACTCAATCTCAAAGGTGTATTCTTGCACCTCCAACCACCATCTGGCTATCCTTAACAGATCTCGCTTCGCGAATGTCGCCCGCACAGCATTACAATCGGTTACAACCTTGCATTGTACCCCCAGTACATACACCCTAAAATATCGCAACGCCAATACGACCGCCATCGTTTCCAGCTCATACAAATGGTAATGACGCTGGTCCGCCGTTGTCTGTCTACTGAAGTAGGCTATCGCCACCATCTTATCATCAACTAATTGTAACAGGACTGCGCCCATACCGATGGCGTTCGCATTAGTGTGTACTTCCGTCGGCTTATCCGGATTGAAAATCCGCCGATACGGACGATAGACTACCGGTACATCCTATGTACATTGTATACTAAACGAGATAGTATTTGTCTTACCAAAATCCTTCGTTGAGGATGACACGCGATCCTTGAATTCTCGAATTAAATTGACACATTGTCGTCGCGCCGCTTTGCCAATGGTGCCCACGCGTATCGAGCCTTCCATTGCCACATCTAAAAAGCTCACACCGACGATATTTTCCGGCGATTGATTTATTTCAGGCAATTGTTTAAATAACAATTCCTTTCCGCGTTTGATCGTTACTACGTGTTCCTGTTCCAGAAAATCGCGACCGACAATAATATCATATGTCAGACAATCGTTCAGTACAACGATTGCGCTGACATACGCTTTCGCATCCATTATTTTAATTTCGCATCGAACCGACCGATCGCTGGTCGCGGTTTGTCCCGCGAAACCTCGCAATACAATATTAGGCCTCGTTACAGCAGGCATTTTATATTTCTCTACAATTGCACTACGCACCAGGGTACAACCGCTCCCTGAGTCGATCAGTCCGTTTACATGATGTCCGTAAATCGTCAATTTTTGTTCGTACAAATTCGATTCCGGTCTGTTTTCGTCCACGATATTTACGCGTTTTTCCTGCGGGCACTTGTTGACAAGATGCCCTCATCGTTTACACTTCTCGCATTTCACTCGCGGTTCGCTACATTCTCTCGCGAAGTGACCTTCTTTTCCGCAATTAAAACATTCCCGCGGCTTAGCATGCACATTCTCAACGGCCTTATCTGTTGATTTCGGATCGTCCTTATCAACCATCCAACATCCTTATCAACGTCCCGCCGCTTACTCGATCGTCGCTGTCTCGAATATCGATCCTTCCGATCGCTTCCCTTTTTCCCTGTCGGCGTGACTTTATCGCTTTTTGGCGGTAACTCACTGAGGGCTGTCATATACGCGTATAATTTGTTCGCGTCGTTAATCTGCGCGGAACGTACCGCTCTCAAAACATTTGCATCCGTTATTTCCCTAATTACCGCGTCGATCATATATTTGTCCGGTATTTTAATATCTAAACTACGTAATTTGCGCAATTTTTGGAAGCAGTAATCTCCCAGCGTCTGACCGAGAAGAGACTCGTAATTCGCGGCTTCCTTAAACAACTTTTGAAACGGAACAGACTTACGAAATTGTTGCGTTAACTCTATTTTCGTGTTTCGCCACGTGACGGCCAGTCGCGGCTGGACGTCATACCATTGCCTGGCATGCCCCTTCAATCAACTCGGTATAAGCCTCGTGACCGCTCGATCATCCCAATTGTATTGTTCCGCCAAGTCGTCCACATGCTCGATCCATTTTCCGATCGTAAGCTCATCCTTTGCCAAATCGAATGTCGGAATCATTACCTCGTCTCCTCGGTGGATGCACGAGCCACGCCCCTGTGACCGACGATCTAACCTCTCCACGAGGCGCTCGAGCCTCACTGGCTCATCGGTATCGTTGTTTCCGTCATCTCTTGATGAATTCACCGAGGACGAACGACGCCTCTTATTTCCTCGCGCTTCGTCTTCCGAGTCACAACTCGAATTCCTTCTTCGCACCCCATTTTCCGAATCGCGACGCGACTTCCTTTCTCGCGCCTCGCCTTCCGAGTCACGACGCGAATTTCTTCCTCGCGCCTCTTTTTCCGACTCGCGATGCGACTTATGGCGGCCCATTGTTCTACCGCCCGATTTCGTCAAAATTCCCGAACTTCTACTTCGGCACGTGTGTGAATCCCGCTTCTGATATGTAAGCTAATCGACTGTTTGTCGCGACTGCAATCAGAATACTTTCCACGTGAATATAACGAATATTATTTTATTCAACTCTACGTCTTTATTTTCGAGGTCGATCGTTACAATACGGGTGTGAGCGTCTATCGTTCTACGACGCCAGCGAGACTCTGCCCGGTACGCGTTCCCCCGCTCGTCATCCTGAGTATACTCGCGGGTGCGCTGATTGGTCGATGCTCGAGCCCGACCATTGGCTACGGCGCGTCGGTAGTGTCGTCATCTCAGCAATCTGGCGGGAAGTCCGCATTCACCGCGGGCCCTCGGAATATCGCTTACACTATGCTATTAATTTTTAATTTTTGTAAAGTCGGGCTCCAGGTTCACATAGGTGTCACAAGTTAGACTTAGCCCAGTAGGACAGGGCATGGGGAGGTCCATGGATGTTATGCTTATGCGATTCCCGGGGTCTCCCCTACACAGCGCCGCGAGGGATACCCGGGAGGGTTTTAGCCGGTAGGAGTCCGGCATAACCGCCCGCTACGCCCCGGGGGCGGGGGTATCCAATGCAGGATTTCCCCCTGTTACAAAAAAAAGGAAGAGGGAAAGAGAGGGGGAGCGAAAGAGAGGGGGAAAAGAGGATGGAAGAGAGGGAAGGTGAGAGGGGGGAGAGATAAAGAGGTAGAGGAAGGCAGAGGGAGGAAGGGTGGGAGGGAGAAAGAAAGGGAAAGAAGAAGGGAGGGAGAAAGAGAGAGAGAGAGAGAGAGAGAGAGAGAGAGAGAGAGAGGGAGGAAAGAGTAAAAAGGGTGGAAAGGGGCAGAGGGGGAGAGGGAGAGCAAGAGAGAGAGAATTGGTGAGAATAAGAAAAAATGGCTGTAAAATGCGAAAAGAGACAGAATTAGGACGACAGAATATAAATTTAAGAGAATAAATGAAGATAAAATTGAATAATAGAACATAAACAAAAATTAGAGAAAATCAGAAAAAATAAAAAATAACAAATAAAGAGAAGACAATAAGCAAAATTAAAACATTACACAGCCACACAAAAAAAATTATTTTCTGGCCTGGGGGTCAGACCATGTTTATTATATGTTTTTGGGGTTGCTGAAACCGAATCCGAAGTCCATTTTACCCCATCACAGCAATGTCTCGCCTGTGTCTGCATCCAGGGCACCTCCACGCGCTGACGGCGGGCAAGGGAGCAATTCCGTTATCCGGCTGAGTCCCTGGATTACGGCGTTGATGCCGTCATGGCAGGCACAGGTGGAAAACGTTTAATGAGACAGGGATTCGGATACCCGGGAATCGGCGGCTGGTCAGGGTGAGAATGTAGGCCCGCAGGCGTCGTCATCATGCGACCGCAGCTCTACATTGGTTGGTAACTTGGCTAATGTAGAGCTGAATACTACAAGAAAAAAGGGCGAAGTCGTCTCGCAATCACATAGCTGTGATGTAGATCATAACGTCTTTTGTTATATTTGCTCCAAGTTATGTCAAAAACCTGACGTGATGGGGTAAAATGGACTTCGGATTCGGTTTCAATGACCCCAAAAACATATAATGAACATGGTCTGACCCCCAGGCCAAAAAATAATTTTTTTTGTGTGGTTGTGTTATAAATGAGAACAAGTAAGAATAAAGAAGAATGAGAAAAGATAAAACAGTAAAATGCAATAAAATTAAAAAAAAATGGTGTAGAATGGATGAGAATGAAGGAAGCTATAAACAGTAGAGTATTTGCATCAAAAAG